GATTTTATTTTTTTTTTCTTTTATGATTTGAATCTGATTTTATTCAATTGTTTGTTGATCATAATGGGTGGATATGAGCTTGTTCCTTTGAATTCTAGTGGAGCATCAAAAGAGTAGTTTTAGTTTGGTTAGGTTAATAATCAAATTGACCTTGAAAGAGCTGAGCATAAATAGATTTCGAGTAGTATGATGTTTTGAGGCGCATCTTATTTTTAAGTTTACTAATCAAGTTGAACTCAAGCTGGAACTTTAAATGTTGTGTCATAGAAAAATTTGTCCAAGTTTGGCTGGTGATAGTCAACTGTGATCTCATCATTACATGCTATTGATCTGCAAAATAATCCTGTCTAAGTTTGGTTGTGGTGTGAATGAATGGGGCTCGAACGAGATTTACTAGTCCGGTCTCTAGCCAAGCATCGAGTAGCACCATTAGTTCTTTTTTATTTATTTTTTTTTTTGTTGTTTTTCGGCTCTGCTCAAGACTGATGATATAGCTCAATTTGTGTACGTCATTGCTGATGTTTTTGCTGGCTTGTCATGGTGCAATATTTTTCTTTTTCCCCTTCTGTGCAACATGCATTTAATTGTTAGGTTTTGGATCTTTTTTCCAGCGAGACAGAAGCTCAGAGGTGTATGTATGATGCTTCCTGTGATACCCATTTTGGCTTCTGCTGTGACATTGATGAAGAAATAGCTCAGGCACTAGCAAGTATGCATTGATTTACAGTGTTGTTGTACCTTTTTCATTTTCCTTGAATTTTATAGTTATAGAAAGAGAAGTGATGTCTCTTACTAAGTGAATTCTTATTAGTTTCTTTTAATGCTTTTGTTGTTTGTATATGTAGAGTGAAGTCTTGCGCAAATTCTTACTTTTGGACCTTTTGGTGCATCGTAGGTGTGCCTGGAGTATTGACAGTTAAACCAGATCCTGATTTTGATTCGACGAAGAAAGATTACAGCTCGCCAAAGTTTGAATTGAGTGCCGAATTAACAAATAGCCCTTTTAATAGAAGAACATTACTGTTTCCTGCTGGCACTACTAAGCACTGGCTCGTTCGAGTGGACCGACCAGCAATTGGAGCCATTAGAAAGGCCCAAATCGTTGATTATTATGCCCAAGTCCTAAAGAGAGTTTTGAGGAAGTGAGTATTAGATTTATCTTATTGTGAATGATTTTCTTACACCTATTTTATTCTCTCTTACCTTTGAGTGTACATGGTGAGTGAATACTATTGTTTTTACTTTTCACAGTGAGAAAGATGCTCAGATGTGTATGTATCATGTTTCGTGGGAATCCAACTATGGTTTCTGCTGTGAGCTTGATGATGAGTGTGCTCGAGAGTTACTTGGTCCATAACCTATGCTCAAAATCAACAATTGAATTTGTTTTATAACCTTTGATGTGACAGTAGATATCCTTGTTGTTGCAGCTGTGCCTGCTGTCCTATCAGTTGAACAAGATGAAAATTTCGGTTCTGATATTAAGGATTATGGAGGTTTGCTAAGATTAATACCTTTCCTGATTTTGTTTATGGTGTCAGACGGTTATAATATTTAGTTTGGGAAAATTTCGGTTCTGATATTGTGCTTGGGAAAATTTTGTTTGTGGCTGCTATAATATTTTTATTGTAAGGGCTTTGCAGCTACAATGATGCTTATTCACAGCTACAATGATGCTTATTCATCTCGCAGGTGAGAGTTCTAGAGCCTCGGAAGAATCTTCAGCATCAAATCTAACAAGCAATATCAAAACAAAGAAGCTCTTTGTGACAGGTATACTGCAACTGATACATTCGTAAAATCTCTTTTCTCTGCTTTTCCGTTTGAAATTCATCATGTTACAGCGCTTGCCTTTGCTAGTGATGATGATTGATGGTCTACCGTAATTTTCATAAATTTGGTCTTGAGTTTTAATTCCCAAAGCTCCTTTAATTGTTTTTCTTTTTCTTCCTTTTTTTTTTTATTTTGGTTTTTGCAAAAGATACAAGAGTAATCATTGGACACTAGATACATTTCACTTCTGCTTATAGGGTTGTGGTGAAAGTTGCTTTAAAAAAAATTGAAGTTTGAACTCGAGGGTTATTAGTGCCTTGATCCTTCCACCAAAGACGCTCTGCATTTTCTCAATTCTAGTACCATTAAAGGGTTCGCAATTTTCTTTTACTTTTTTCCCATTCTTATAGTGCCGAGCAAACTGTCTTATAATTATGTTCGTATTCATCAGCCGAGCTGAAAGCAGTTTCTATCTGATTCTGCAGGTCTGTCCTTCTATACATCTGAGAAAACCTTACGCACAGCATTTGAAGGTTTTGGTGAACTTGTGGAAGGTACAAAAACCCCTAGCCTAACAAGAAACTGTTACCCATTTAGAATGTCGACAGTGTATGAATCAATTTGTTCAATCTACTTCTCTTCAACTTTCAAACAGTTAAAGTCATAATGGACAAGATTTCCAAAAGGTCCAAAGGTTATGCCTTTTTGGAGTACACCACTGAGGAGGCTGCTAGTACCGCTCTAAGAGAAATGAACGGGAAGGTAACTAAGGTGCCATTGATGATTTCTTGGGTGTGAATCACGAAACGCTCCATACATCGTTCAAATTAGTTTCAAAATCACAAATGCCATATTTTAATTGTTTATTTTAAACTTTCATCTATTGGCCGTGTGGTATTAGTGAAATTAAAACCAACTTTTGAAGGTCTTAATTGTGATACTTCAATTGGGCATGTGTGTGTAGTTTTGCTACCTTAAGATGGCATGTCATACCCAAAAAAATAATATGCAACTGATTTCATTTTTTTGCGGTTTCAGATCATCAATGGTTGGATGATTACAGTCGATGTTGCAAAGAAAAATCCTCCCAAGTTTAGCAGGGGCCAACCAAGACCAGCTACATCCTGATGCATAATGTTTCGACTTCTCCCACACTATTCAAAGAAATATGTTCTTTTTCGGTTCAGGTATACCCAGCTCAGTGGAAACAAAGGCGCAACTCGTGTAGCAGGACAAGAGAAACAACAGTTGAATACAGTCAACTCTAGACTTCATTTATTACATAACCTTTTCGTGGAATTAAAAAGGCTCCGAGAAAACGAGTGGCGGCTATGCTAGAACCCACTGAAGACGATTTAGTTGGGGAAAATGTAGAAAACGAAGACGAAAATCCCTCAGATGCCGAGGACCAGGGTATGAATGATTCCCCAGTGTAAAATGAGAAGTTTAGTTTTGCTCAACTCGCGTAGTTCGCCCTTTCTTTGTGCACTTTTTTCTTATTTATTTATTTATTTGGTTTGGAATAGTAGATTTGTGGTATTTGCTCTACTTAAAGGGTGCTCAAAGATTTGTTTTGTGCCTTGATTTGATGAGGTCTACTTTTGTGAACTACAACTTCAACTTGTATAAAAGAATGTAATGGAAGTATTTTTTCCCCCACCTCCATTTTGGTTGGGTTTTCCCTGTAGTATTCTTTTTGAAAGGCCTTATTATGGTGATTTTGAACCTTCAACGCCTAATCCTTTCCGGCAGAGTCATACTGAAGTTTCCAAAGCATGAATTTAATGAATACGCTAGCCATTTACGAGTTCTTTAGGGACCACGACAAACTGGCGTAGTCCCACGCCCAAAGTTCGAAACCTAAATGCATCACGTGGTCTACGAACACATCAGTCGAAGCCAAAAAAACTGAGCGAGCTGTGATATTCAACGAGCCTGTTATGACAAAATTTATGTGATCCATTCAACTTTTCGCTCGGGGGCATAGGAACACAATAGGACTCGAACTTTTCGGTAGCAAAGTCAAAAGATTGGATAAAATCGTGGTCTAAGTTAGTTAACCAGTAATGAGTGCCGTTCACGTGAATTTTCGCGAATGCATCAGCGGACGGATGGAAGGTGTAAGGACGAAAGCTGACTCGTTTCCACGAGTTAGTCTTGAGAGAATATAAGTCGGTCACGGCAAGGGAGCACCTTTTCTTCAAATGATCATGATCAGATCTTTGCAGAAATCTTATCACCTTGTAGTCGTCAGATGTGGAATCATACCCGAAACCAAAATTATTGTAGATTCTCTTCTTATACCTCGGGTCCAAGGTTGCGGGAGATGGAGGA